GAAATCAAACTATCTAGAAGGCAGTTTTTCAAAGTAAGCTTTATTCCTCTATTGTTCAGAACACGACTTCCAATATAAACAGACACAAATGGTCAGCTGGCTAAAATGAATAAAGGGAGAATGTAGTTTAGAAGTTTCTTTGAACAAAGAGCTTGAAAGTAACAAATATATGTTCAAAGAAACTCAAGAAGAGCAATAGTTTCAAAAGAGGAAGAAACATTACCTTTTCTCATAAGTTATTTAAAGAAATTCTGGCCTCACATTCAGCAATGTCTATAAAAGATGAGTAAGGGAAATCAATATGATGAGAATGAGTGATGAAACTTGTATATAGTTTACTATCTGCCAGCCTGCCAGAAAGCAGGCAGACATTGCAGGGTTATCCAAGATTAGTGTGGCACCATCCTTCACTACTAAGAGAAATATGTAAATCAGATAAATTTACAGAAAATATAAATGAAAGCCAACAATATCAAAAAAGGAAAAATTACTATCCAATCAAGCAACAAAGTTGAAGTGAACAAGAGATATTTAAGATAGATATTGTTCCCTTCTCAGGCTGTAGGCAAAGGAATTAAGAGAAAAGGTTTTGATAGAATGAGGTTCCACCAGATGAATAACAAAGGAGATCCCAGTACTTTAACAAGAAACAAGTTTTGGTAAAAAAAACAAACAAACAAAAAAACAAGTATCCCAGCCTGTACATTCAGATTAAAACCATTCAGATTTTAAATAGTTAAACTATTAATTGATTGAAAAAGATAAACTCTCCAATGATCTTTATGTAACTATGAACAAATGAATTCTATGAATAAAAAGAAAAAAATGAGCCAGATCAGACTGAAAGAGAAAAATGTGATTTTCATTAAAGTTGTTATTTTTATTATATGAAATATTCATTAAAATTATAGGTCTTTTATTGAGGAACCTTATAAAAATAAACTTTATGATTTTGTTAAGAGTTTCATAGGTATTAGATTTTTTTTAGTTTTATTTTTAAACCTCAACTCTGTAAAATCCAATTTTAGAACTGCTTAAACCAGGATTTAAAATTTTTTTGTTATAATTGGTTTGCTTTTTATTTCTTGTGCAAAGTAATATTTACAAAAGGAAAAAAAAAAAAAAAAATGAAAATCTTGTCTTCTTGGCACTAATTGATAAAATCACTTTTTGACAATATATAAAAAAAAAGACCTTCCTTTGAGCCCAATTAGCTGCAGTGATTTTGTTATCAAGACTGAATAGAATATCATGCTAATAAACAGTTCAATAAAAATAATAATAAAGCTATATAAATAAGGTTATAAGATTTGGTTTTAAATGGTCTGACACTTTAATATATATATTATATTAACCATTGTATTATATATATATATATATAAAACATACATACATACACACATGTGCACATTTGAATAAAAAGAAATATACAAGTTCCAGTCCAACCTAATAACAACTGTATCAAGGCAATTCCTTCATTGGAATCTAAAGAATGACATATGAAGACAATCTTGTTCAGCCAATAATACTTTTACTTTGCTTCTATCATCAAATTCATAATTTGATAATTACCAAACAATTGTTGCAGTAAAAAAAAAAAAGAAAAAAAAAAAAACGGATTAATATTAGTTTGGAAGGTGGAGTTGTAACTTAAAGCGAACTAGACAATCTGCCTTGGAAGAACTTCTTACAAAGTTTGGATTTTAGCTGTTCAATCCCTGGTTTCATTTATATTCCCTGAACATTATTCCGTGGTAAGAGTGTGTTCCATAGCTAAAAAGATTTCAATTACATTGTATTATGATTAAATAGACCACAAGATAATAATAATGATAATAAAAAAAAAAAAAAGAAGAAGAAAAAAAGAAAAAAAAAAGCCCAGTTATGAAAGATCAAAATCAAACATTTTGTCTTTTTTATGAAAATCTATTTTTTGGATCCAAAACTAATCGTCCCAATGTATTCCACTTAAGAAAAGCTTAACTCAAGAAATTTTAACCAATTAAAAAAAAAAAAAAAAAAAAAAAGTATTAAAAAGAAAAAAAGTATTAAAAAGAAAAAAAGTATTAAAAAGAAAAAAAAAATTGGGTGAACGTTTATAGGAAAGGCTTAATAATAAAATTGCCTCATATGGTTATATTATTTGGTAATTTAATTGTGCATATAAGAGGGAGAAATTATTATAAGATCACTGAACCTAGGCTTGAAACCAGAACCTATTATTTTATCAGAATGTTTTGTTACCTGCCCAAAATAAACTGTTTAAAATGCTGACTCCTGTGGATAACAGCCATGAAAGACTTGCTTAAGACATAGACAAATGTTCTTAGGCATAGCAAAGAGAATGCAGCAGTAAGGAGAACCAAAACTTCTACTGTACTGTTGACAGAAATTTTTTTTTTCTATCTTTGGTCATATTAAGTCTACCATTGGTCTTTACTTTGAGTATTCCTGCCACATCTGGTCCAGTGCTCCTACTACATATTTAGAGATTCTTGATAAAATCCAAAGAAGAGTCTGTAATGTTATTGGTTTTGACCTGGCATCTCAGCCTCAATCCCACTGCCTTAATATAGTTTCACTGTGCTTTTTCTATAAATACTTTCCTGGTAATTTTTTTTGATGAACTTTCCTCTATGGTACCTAGACTTTATGAATTTATGTGCAGTACTAGATTGGTGGTAAGGTCTTATTTTACAATTGAATCGAACACTGCTTGTGGAACACTTTTCCAGTTTTTGCTTTCCAATCAAATCTGATCTACAAAAGTTTAAATTGATCTAAATTTTGGATCATGTGTACAAGAAAGATCACTGGTGTGGGGATACAGAGTGTGAAAGCTTCTATGCATTGCTGTTGCAATCTCTGTGTATTGCAATGAGGCTTGAAGTCTTTACTGGACTAAACAAATTTGGGTGAACGTTTAAAAACAGCTCACTGATAACTAATGAAATAAACAACCAAAAATAAGAAATAATAATAATTAGAAAAGTAACTGGTAGGAATGTTTTTGTTTTTTTTTTTTAAATTTAAATTGTATACTTAGCTTTATTTGAAAGAGTAACATTTTCTTTTTTTAAAGAGAAACTGCTAAAGAAAAGCATTTATATTCCTATATGATGAAAATATCAAGAAAAAAGTAACAAAGGATTAAAGGTAGGCAAACTTTCTCAAGAAAATCTGAAATACATTAAAATTTCTAGAGGATATCTTCAAGTAGACATTCTTAACATCTAGAGAAGAAAAAAAGGTTTGGTAGTAATGGAGATATACACTTTACACTTCATAGTCTGTAAAGATAAAGTGAAAAATATCCAAAACATTTACAAGATTGATAAACAGAAAGAAACAACTGTCTACGGATAGATCAGGCAGGCAAAGAAAGTGATCATAGTTGCCTTGGTACAAAATACGACCTTAGATCAAATTCATGCTCATCATTTATAGAACAATTTTTCTCTGTTCAGATATGTAAAAGTCATTCTAAAATCATTGTAGGAGAAAAAAACAAACCCTGAAATCTCTTGGCAAAATCAATTTGGATTCACACATCACCGAAGATACAAATATGCAAAAATGAACAGAGAGAAACCTCATTTAGTAGTTGGCACTGTTCTCAGATTTCAGTTGGAGCGTAATGAAAGATTGTTTAAAAAGACCCAACTTAAGAGTTGATGGGATAAGTAACCTTTTTGAATGAAGGATAAAATACAGATTCAAAATAATAAGACTAGAAAACATTTTTTTCAAATATACAAGAGAATACACAAGTCTCTTTACTAGTTCTGTTCAGAAGCTTTGAAATTGGTTCCATCTAAATATTTTAAAAAGCCGAGTTTTATGATGATCAGTGATTTGTTTTTTTTTTAGATAAGTTGCAAAGAAAAAAAGCTATCAAATTGTTCTGCAAAGTAACTTAGAAACAGAATTAAAAAATTGCAATGAATCAGTAAAACCCAAAATTAAATTTCTATTTATCATAAAAATATTGTTTTTATTCCCTTTTATTTCTAAATTATCTTTCCAGGGATTTTTTTTATTTAAGTGATTATAAATACATTCCCATGTTAAGACAATTTGACAGATTTTGACACAGGCTTTCTGAAATATATATATATATATATATATATATATATATATATATATATTTTTATGCTACTCTGTTCTAAATGAAAATCCTCTAATTGGGCTGGCAGTCTATAATATAGACTGACACTTACAACAGTGTCAAACAGTAATCTGGAATAAATAAGGGGAAAAAAAAAAAAAAGCTTTGATACATTCCATCTTTTTCCCTTCTTAAAATCAATCCAAACTTTATAAAGAGTGAAACATTTTCCTTTTTTCAGTCAGATATAAAGATTTAATTCCATAGTAGAGTTGCTGTTTATTTGTTTTTAAATAGAAGGAAGGAGTTGGTATTGTGGAAAGAGAAAGCCTGCATCAAATATCACAGAAAGCAAGAACAGAACAGAGACAGTGTTCAGCAAATATAAAACAATAAGCTAGCCACGTGCACAAGCAGACACTCTTTCAAGTGAATTCCAATGAGGAGTTGTCAAAATAAAAAGGTAAATATTTGCCTTTCGTATTTCTCCTTTATAAACCCATTGTTAAACATAAAAGAGAAAAACTAAAGAGAAATAAAGCGGTAAAAATCAAAGGAGGGAAGGGGGGAGAAAGAAAAAAAAAATGTCAGGAAATCAGAATATCAAAAAGAAGAGATAGCAAGAAAAAAAAAAAAAAAAATGTAAGGTGTACAATAGAATACAAACTGGCCAAATGGTTAACAATTTCATACCTGCTTTTTTTCCTTTTTTTTTTTTTTTTTTTAAAATATTAGTAGTGTTAATTCCACAACTAACAGGAACAATTATAATGTGTTTAAGCCCAGTTTAAAGATGATATCCACATGTGTGTGAAGTTATGCAGTGTAACCGTCCATTTGAGATAGTGCAATACTTTCAGAAGGTCATAATAAACTGGAAATGGTCAAATAATCATAGTTTGCATCTGGGACAGAGGGATGGAGAGAGGGGGGCATCATTGTAGGTGAAACAGAGCAAAGGATGAAGTGAGGCAGGAGGAGGAGGAGAGAAAAAAAGATGAAAATTAGAAAAGAAAAAGTGGGAGGACAACAACAACAAAGTGAAAAGAAAGAAAATAAATCTCGAGTTGATCTCAAAACAAACCTACTTTTTTTTTTTTCTTTTTGCCTGTCAATATGTGGCTCTGCTGAAAATCTCTTTAATAAAGAATAAAATGTAAGAAAAAGAAAAATTGATTAAAATTTATTATTCTCAAAGAATTTCAAAGAAAAAATAGTTTAAAACAAAAATAAATTGTGTTGGATTAGGGGGGGTTGTATGTTGAGAATGTGTCTATCCCGAAAGTAAAAAGTGAAAAAAAAAAAACAAACTTTTGTCGGAAAAATGAATATTGTTAGAATATGAATGGTCAATAAAATTGAGAGTAAAGAAGTGAAATATCCACCAATGATAAATATTTTTAAAATAATAAAAGAATTTTTGTATCTCAAATCTCTAGTTAATAAAAATAGATTTCATAATAGGAACTTTGTAATTCTATATCAATAAAGAAGTGAGAGAAAAGTCAGAATTTAATGAATAACAAAAGTGGAAGACCAAAGCTTAGTTAATAAATTATTGTTTTTCTTTTTATTGATCTTTACTAAGCATAGCTTAGTCTGACACAAGGCTAACCTGTCATTTTTTTCATATATATTTTTAAAATTTACTTTTCACCAAAATAAGAACTTTGTTCAAGATTTAAATATATCAATGTAATACCTATTACTCTAAACATATATATATGGCAGATGTATGTAAATGGTATTTTATATTATTATTTTTTTTTCTTTCACTCACACACACACTCACACACAAATAAGTATGGACATATACAATAAATGTATATATAAACAGTATAGAATTAAAATATGCACAGGGGTAATAAAAAAAAAAAAAATTAAGAAAAAAGATGAGTCATATATACTCGAAAAGGTTGATGTGTTTCTGATATTGTACGTTTCTACAAATAACTGGCTTCTGTTAAAATCATTATATAATAATGAGCAGTTTATGTTGATGTGGTTCCAAACAATGGTGTTAAGGTTTTTGTGTCCGATGGCAAGTCAAAAAGCGCCATAAAAAAAAAAAAAAAAAAAAAAATTTATTGTAGCAGCAGCAGCAACAACACAGCAGTTTTTAGATGACAACTCCCATTGTTCCAAGCCAAAGTGTACCCCATTAAAACAGGAGTGTTATTTTTGTGGTTATTATAACAATAGGAAAGGAGGGGAGGGTGAAGAGCAGGAGAGGAAAGGATTATAATTTAGTTGGGTAGATTATTAGCGGGAGGGAATAGAGGTCTGAAGAGAGGAAGAAGGAGGAGTGCAGTCATGACCCAAAGCTGACCATGGGGGTTAAAACATAAACAGCACCACACTAAGGCAGCACCAAAAAGAGGAGAAAATTCTGGAGAAAAATTAGGAGATTATCTTTGCTTTGTGTCGGTTGGGTGTATTATTTCAACTATTTGGCTTGTTTTATACTTGTTATCATGTTCGTAGCAGTTCCTTTTTTTTTTTTTTAAATCATCACAACTACTTATTTTGTCATTTGTCCCCAACATTTTTTTTATGTGAACTGTGTTTTAAAATATGTTTTCTGCTGAAGGAATAATGAAGCAATTGGGAAGCCATGAGACAGCATCAACGAGACAAGAAGAGGAAATAGTGGATGAAGTAGGAAAAAGATGCAGAAAGAGAATGAATTTGAGAAAGAGATGATGAAGGTTAACAGTGAAAGGTAAAAAGAAAATGCGAAAAGTAACGAGAAAGAGAGTCAAGTATGTAAAGAGAGTAGTTAGGTGAAAAAGAACATGGTCCTGTTGATGGAGAGAGAGAGAGATTAATGGTGCTTTATCTTGAGTAGTTGCTCACAATTTACATGCAAGACAAAATATGCATTAATATAGCTTATTGTTACTTGTGGTGATAAAAAATAAAGTGTTGCTGAGTACTTAAGACATAAATACATAACAAAAGTTTTATGCAAGTATAGCAGCAGCAGCAGAGAGAGAGAGGAATAGATAATACAACTTCCATTTTGTATTCCAACCATGTTTTTGTTTTAATATATAAAAGCTGCAGAAAATAATTTTCTTCTTTATTTTTATAATATCTCAGGTCTAAATAAAAAGTAATTATTATAATAAGAGAAATGTCTCTCCATCTGTTGTCATCATTTCCCTTCCTTCTCCTCCTCCATCACTACCACCACCTTAAGCTCAAAGCAACATGCAGTGCTGCACAGGTGTACACATATCACTGAGCAGTAGGAGTACCAGCCTGTCCTTGCTGCTACAATGAATAAAGACAGGTAAACAGAATTGCAATCAACCTTTTGTACACCTGTGCAAATGACCAGAAAGTGTCATGGAAGGTCAAGTTACTGAAGAGGAAGTGGGAGGGGAGAGGATATGGGGGAGGACATCATTTCCCCCTGCCATTTATTTTAACTTTTTTTTTTTTTTTTAATTTTTTGTTGCTTCTGTTATGATATTCCCCCCCCCGCCAAGTTAGTTGCTCATATTTTACATAAAACTTTATTTTATATTTTTATTTCCTTAAAATTCATTCTGTTTTTGTTCTTAAAAAAAAAAAAAAAAAAAAAAAAAAAAAAAAAAAAAAAAGAAAGAAAAAAGAAAAAAAAGATAACTTTTTGTTGATTTGGATAAAATCTTTGTATGTTAGTATCATTTTGTTTTTTGTTTTTGTTTACAGGTCATATGATCTCAGTTTGAATATACATTATATGGCAAATGAAAAATATCAATCAAGATGATTGAGTTTTTTTCTTGAGTGGAGTCAAGGATTAGTTTGAATAACAGTCAATAACATTAGGTTGTTGTTGTTGTTGTATGGAGAGGAGGCTTTCTGAGGGTCATCATTGTTTATCGGACAGATTTAATGGCATCAAAATAGTCTAAATGGGCACCTGGCACTCATCCTTCCCCTGATATGTAGGCAAGGAGGTACTGAGCAACTACAGCCAGTATCATAGCAATCACACCAAAGCCGAACAGGAACAAAATAGAGATCTGTTGGTCAGTCAATGGTTTCGACTTTGGCGCCTTCATCACAGTGGGTGGGCGGGACTCAACTGCCCGTACAGGCTCTGGTGAGAGGGTAGTGAATGGCATTCCAGGGCTGAATGCTCCTGTCACATCTGGCAAGCCATCAGAGCAAATGCGGATTGCACCTACTCGCATCTGATAATCACATCTGGAGGACAAGTTCTGTACACTGAAGCTTGTCTCTGGACCCCGGTAAACCTGAAAGAAAAGCATAGAAAAAGTAAAGAGAGGAGAAAGAAACAAAGACATGGACCAAATAAGCAAAAAACATTGGGACAAAAGAACATCCAGAAGTAGAAGCAAACATGGAGAGAGGACAGAGAGGAGGAAAAGAAGAAAATAAGATGTGTGTGTTTGGGGGGGGGGGGAAGAAAACTTGTAGCAAATAAGTTAAAAAAGAAAAAAAAAAGAAAAAAAAAAAAAGAAGAAACAGCTGTATAGTTAGAAATTTAAATATATGTTAAAACTTATTGCATAATAAACAATATAACCAATTTTGTTTTTTTTAATATTGATGCCAAAATTTTTATGCAAGCTCACCGATTTGTATTCATGCTCTCCTTTTCCAATACACAGAATCTGCAGTTGGTAGATCACAGAGTCCACCCCCATTTGTTTACAACCCTGCCATTCTACCATACAGCTGTTGATGGTGATCTCACTGACCTTGGGAGCTGGAAAATGCAAAAGAGAATTGATTCAGAAAAAGCAAGAATAAAAAAAAAAAAAAGCATGCTATCATAACATAAAAAACCTGGCAAATATGAAAACAAAAACAAATTCTCATTCCTACTGAATACACTGATAGTTATAGGACATCTAAGAAAGATATTGTTTCTTTAACTTATGTAAATACTGTCGATATGAAATCAATACTAAGTTCTTGTATGTGCACTAAAATCTTGAGTGAATTTTCATCAACACATCACACTTGACCAAATTGATGAGAAAATGTACCTTTAAGAGGAGGTGGTGGAGCTTTAGTTGTGGAGAATTTATAAATGTTGGAATATTCCCCACAGCCTGCCTCATTAATGGCTAATATCCGAAAATCATAGGAGGTTAGTTCTGAAAGTTTTCCAACTTTGTGAACATGGGCCGAGCCGGAATAGACCAGTTGGAAACTGAAAAAGATAACATTTAACAAATCATTAGTCAAAGAATAAAGAGAAAAGTACTGAAGAAAATGTAAAAACAGTGATATTATAGAAAAAGGAATTACATGTTAATATAAAAATTCACAATGCAAAATTGAAATCTATTCACATGTAATCTAATGAAATAAAATAAAAAATGGAAGCTTATTTAAGAGAAGATATTATGAAAGTTAATTTTGAAAACTGAATAGTTGTTGCATAAGCCATTTCTATTTTTAAGATTTGTACACAGAATAAAACTTTGATATTTTTCAAAAACTAATTTTTTAGAGGGAAGCTGGTATAATAATAAAACACTTCATTTCTTAATTCTTTTTGCAGAAAATTCACTTACTTTTTGTCATCCTTTCCCAACTCCAACTGGTAATTAATCAGATCAGGATTACGTCCATCTCCCCATTTCAATTTAAGGCTGTTGTGAGCTATACTGACACACTCGAGGCTTGGAGGAGGAGGTGGAAGGGATTTGGTGACCACCTTGATAGGTGTGCTGAAGGCACCGGGCCCAATGACATTAACAGCTTGGATTCGGATTCTGTAATGGAGAAATTTCAAAACCATTTTTTTTCTTTGTATAAAAAGTTTTATTATCATACTGATTTTTAATTTTATTTTTTAAAAGCTTTTTCTGAATAGTAATATTTTACACAATAAATCATGGACAAAGTTAAATTTGTGATTTTGAATTTTGGCTTGTGTTGTTAATGCAATTTTTTTTAGCATAAAAACAAAAACAGACTTTTTATAATATTGCAACATTTAAACACTGGATGAAAATGATATTTTCATTTTTTTGTCTAGTATCTTTTAAACACTGAGTACCTTTGAAAGAATCATTAGTAATTATCTTTAAGCAGGAAAGCATGAAGCTATTAAGCAACCCAAGTGAAGAAAATGAGAATTCAAAGTAATCAGCTTATAATAAGATTGCTTTTCTCTAAAAATAATACAAGGTTAAACTGCAACCCATTTTTTATAGTTTTGAGAAACAATTTTTTACTTTGCATCAAAGGACCTGATTAAACTGTTTTCAGTATCCTCCTCAGCCAATACACGTTTATTGTGCATTTGGCCATTACACAGAGAAATGGGCTGCACATTAATCTTGCATTCATTGCAATGGATCTCAATAGTTTCAGATTCTGGATTCAGTACTACCATTGTTGCTGTCACATTTCAGAATATCAGGTAAAGCTTCCTTATTTTGGTAGCATGCCAAAGTACAGCAGGTAGAATCAGTAGGAAGCCAGGCACATCACTGAGAAGAGAGAGATGGAAGGAGAGAAAAAACTGCAGTTCAAAGCAACACAGCACCAGAGGGAATTCCATCATATTTCATTCATGACTCAATAGCAGTGATGTTATTGCTGTTGAGTACCCACTCTCTTATTTCACTATAACTTTCTAATTCCTTGCTTGGAGATCTCTGCCAGATGCTTATCAAAGTAACAGTTCTTAAAATTATAGAAAATCATCTACACTTCAAAGCAGATTACTTCTAGCTTTAAAAAAAAAAAAAAAAAAAAAAAGTTAGTTTTTTGCCTTTCATGAACTTTATTATGAACAACTCAAACTTACAAATCAAAGAAATGATTTAATTTTTTGAAGGTGTGAATAAGTGTACTTTTTATACTAAAGTTCACTGAATATAAGGCTCAAGAGCTATTCAAGGTAGAGGGCTACAGTTAAAATAATTATGATGAATGATTGAATACATCATACAATGATGCAGTGTGTGGCAGAAATATCTCCCACATAATGGCAAGACATTAGTGGCAATGGTGTTTTCATCTAGACAATGTCTTACCATTATGTGGGAGGTATTTCTCTCACACCATGTGCTATGCTATGAATAAGCAACTACAATTATTTTTTATGAAATATTCCAAGTTTTTCAATTCTTTTGTAATAAAATGTTCTATCATCAAATATGCTAAGAAAAATTATGCTTATATCAAGGCATGTTTCTGAAGTGATTAACCATCAGGTTTTTGATCTGAATAAATATTCAAATCTAATTTAATCTTGCAGGTTATACACATAGGAGGGTTATGAAAAGTTCTTGGCTTGACTCATTTAAGAAAAATTGAACAAATGAACAAACATCAGGTTTTTTTGTGGGGGAGAGCTCCTTGGTCAAGACAAGAACTTTGCATGCGAGAGAGAGAGAGAGAGAGCAATACAAATAATAAAACCAACTGGAAAATAAAATGATACTTTACAAAAGTATACAAAACTAAGTCAGTTCAGTTATGTACCATGCGTGATACACGCTTAAGCGATCATGTATCTTTCAATACATGACTGATGAAGCAGATTTTTTCCTGCAGTAGGTTGCCATTTTCCATCCAAGGCTATACAACCTGGTTTGTCCTGCTATTTACCCATAGCTGGGGGGTAGAAGAAGAGGATTCATACCTTTTCCAAGGGTATTAGCACGTAAGTGAATGTAATGGAATCAAATGGAACTCGAACTCAGCTCTCCAACTCCTCAGTCTGAGCTGCTATCCATTACTCCACTATGCCTCCCCATACAAAACTACTAGAAATTAAATGAGTGATCAAAACCAAAATCCTGAGCTCCAGTTGTTGGTTCAGAATAAATATCAAAGTTCCATTTATATAATCATCAGTGATTGTAAGTCTACTGTTGGATAAAAGCCTTTCTCTGCTCATTCCATGACTGTGCTAATCTCTGTAATGATCTTTTCCTACTGTGCTTGCTCACCATTAGGCACCAACCAACCTTTTGCTCCATCTGTTATTCTTATCTTATTCATCTATATTTTTGTTGTTTAATCAATTTTATGATCTGTTGCTCTTCTCTCATATCAATGTTGCTCTCTAATTTTTAGAGAGATCCCTAGCATTGCACTTTTCATTGATCTTTGTGCATTTCTGAGTTTGTCTTTAAGTCACTTTACATTTTAAGTATACTGGCAAAATACTTTTACTCTATTTCTATGTATATTATATAATATCTAAACAATCAGACATCATTTTCAGATTTCATTAAACACCACAATAAAAATAAATGACATTTTAAAGTAGTTCTTCATTTATCTTTGAAAATAGTGTAGAAGCTAAATGAAAAATAAGTACAATGTGAAAATGAAATAAATTTATTTCTTTTATATTTTTAACCATTTTTTTTTAATGGAGATAGGAATACTGTTTAGGATGTGTATGTACATTAAGTCAATTGGATGTTTTTATTTTTACAATGATGTCCACAAGGCGCAAGAGCCACTCGAGGTAGAGGGTTACAGAGTAAGAGGCACAGCTTATGCAGATATGTGTGGAAGATAATAGTTACCCCTGGACTTGAACAGGTTAAGATTGTAGTGATTGGGGAAGCATCCTCTTGGGATAGTTTCCACAGAGCTGCAGTTTGTGGGAAGAAGTTGATTGAGTGGAATATGAAGGGAATGAAGGCAGTTTTCTGCAATGGTGGTTCTTAGCTGTGGAGGTTAGAACTGGTGAAACTAAGGTATATAGTTCCTCTGAACACATTCCATGGAAATAATGATAAAGTAGCAAGAGGCTTGCAAAATCTTGTCTGTGGAAAAAGGATTGCCAGCAATGCATTTGGACTATTGACACTGGAAAGTGAAGACTGGGCAGTTCTTGCCCATATATGGCAGCAGTACCCCATTTTTGTCTTGATTTGGCTCTTGTAAAGGTAGATGGTAACAGGAGGAGTCAGGTACTTAGTGGAGCAGTACAGGGAACCAACCATTTTTCAAGTATATTTAGTGATGAATCATATGTATGAATTCCACTTGAGGTCTGAGTTGAGTTTAAGTCTCAATAGGCATTCAAGGCATTGGAGCAATCCTGAGAGAACACCCATTTATTATGATAGGTGAACATTCAGGGCTTGCTTGGTTATGATTACTAGCCTGTTTTTTCCTCCACTTTCAGAGAAGAGATCAGCTGTCAAGCTCTTGTCATCTAGAGTTTTGGAGGTGCACCCATATACTGTTGTATCATCAGCATAGATATTCACAAATGATCCAAGTATGCTCTTAGGCAGATCATTTACGTAAAGTAGAAAGAGTATTGTACCAAGAAGCAAGCCTTGGGAATGCTTGCATTGATTGCTTGGGCCATCGGAGGACTGGCCATTAACAACTATCTTCAGAGATCTACCTGTTAGAAGGGGCATGATAATTGAGAACAATCTTCCAGTGATTCCATAGCTTGAGAGCTTGTGCAGTAATCCTCTATAACACACCTTGTCAAAGGCATTTGTAATATCTAATGCGTTAGTCCTTGAGATGTATTTGTTGTCTAGTGTCTCACTGATTCTGTGAATAATGACAGAATATTGGCAGCAGATCAAATTGAAATTCTTACTGCTTGTCACTCAAAAGGTTGTGCCTATTGATTGAGAGAGTCATTCATTCATTTTCTATAGTTTATCAATCTTTTGCAAGTTATTTAAGGTAGAAAATATTTTTAGATTGTAAGATTTTTGGTGGTGGCGGTGGTGGTGATAATAATTTAATGTTATAAGTCTTACTAATTAACCCATAGCTGAGGTAGAAGAGGTGGATTTATACTTTTCTCAAGAGTATTTGCATGTAAGTGAATATACTGAACCCAACTGGAGTTGGAAGTTGGCCCTCTGGTTAACAATTGAGCCATTATCCATTTCACCACTCATACATCCAAGCTTACAGCACTTGTTATTCCTAATACTTGTCTTTATTGAGGTGAACAACAACTTTCTTGCTGATTATAGCTTCAAAAAATTGGCTAATGACACTGAGGAGGTTGATGGGTCTATACTGTGATGGGGGATGAATGCTCACCTTCATTCTTGAAAACAGCATACCCTTGACACCTTCCACAGTAAGGAAGTATTTCTTCAAGCAGCAGTTAAATAATTTCACTAAGATTGGGAATAACACAGGATTAATATTCTTAAGGACCATTTCACCATATTTCCAAGGATTTGGACTTCACACAAAATTAATCTTACCTGTATGCTGTGTCTGGTAAGAGGTTGCTAATCCTGTATTCTGATGCAGAACTGATATTAATCAGTGATTTGTCTCCAATGTCAATATTGTAAGCAATGATTTCACTGCCATTGCTATGGGGTTCTTCCCATTTCAACAAGATGTCTGTGGCAGTTGAGTGGACCCGGTAATGTACCACAGCAGCAGGACTAGAAGGGGTTGTCTGGCACTGACACACTGGACTATATGGACTTGGTCCAGCACTGTTTATTGCCTGTTTAAAAATTGAAAGACAAATATTACATAAACCCTTCCACACTTAAAAAAAAAAAAAAAAAAAAAAAATCTGGTTATTCTTCCCATTAATAAGCTTCAGAAATATTTTAAAGTGTTTTTTGCATAATTGTTTATAAACAATATTTAATATTGGAGATAAAGCATGCTGGCCTAGTGAAACATTAGTCATCTCCATGCAAATTATAAAACCTGGTGAATTTGATATCCAATCAATGCACATTATTATTTATTCAATTTCTACTTCATTTATACAAAGATTAGAAAGTGGGAAGAATACAAAAAAATATTTCTTACCAAAACTCTAAAACTATATTTTGTTGCTGGAGCTAGATTTTTTGCCTCAAATTTCCGCTGGGGACCAACATGAAGCTGAAAGGAATAAATAGATTGAGATTCACTAACACAATGATTAGTATTAGACAATTGTGTGTTTATAAAATCCAGGTGATTCCATATTTTTTTTTATATACCATTTCTTTTCCTGCTGAGTAAAGAAATCTTGACATTTATATCTGTTCATAAGGTTAATATATACTGTTTCTTTGAGTTTTCAATGTTCCCTCCCTATCTATTATTTAAACCTCATTCCAGATATTTTCCTTCTTATAACAGAGTTTTCTACTCCATTGGATAAAGATTTCCTATGTTTCTTGGGAGTTGTGATAGCATCAAGTAAAGTCAACTGTATTTCTATCATTATCTTTAACTGAATTGTGAAAAGGCATTAGTAGGTAACAGATTAACATTTGCTATTAAAAAAAAAATTTTCTTCAGTTTCACTTAAAGTAAAATAATGCATTCATTTGTTACAAAAATATTTAATTCTTTTAGTTTTTAATAACTAATGTTTTTTTTGTTTCATTTTATACATTGCCAAACAAAGGATATAGATTGATTTGATAAATTACAATGACCTGTAGTAAAAAAATGCTTCTTGCCTGTTTCCTCTAACAGATGAAAAGTCTCAGACAGAGAAATGAAGACTGAGCACTTGGCACTTTTTCTGTTTGAAACAACAAAAATAAGTGCTGTATTAGTCAGATTTTCCTGTCCATTCAATAGCTTGATGCAATTTTTAAAAATACCTTTCTAGGTTTCTATTATTCTAAACATCTTTGCTATTAGGACAGTTGTGTTGAGAATAATAAAGTAATAACAAAAAGTTCTTTTGAATATTCAATCTTTTAGTTTGCTGTGTTTTTTTCTTTTTGTCTTTGCATAAATGCAAAATTCGATCTTCACATCATCCTATTTTGCATTGAGTTCGAACAGAAGGGAAGTGACTTTAAATGGATGAACATACACTTATACATCCTTAGTAAGCCTTTGTCTCCAGATAAATGCACAAAATGTGAAGGTCATAAACACACAGATAATGGCCTAAAAACCTGGATCAAGATGACAATGTTTTATCAAAGGTGTTCTAACACAGGATGAGATTTGTATTCACACAGTGTGCATAAATCATAAGGAGAGAGGGGGGGGATAGTAAATTTATATCAAATACAGAGATTTTAAATATTTACTAAATTAAGTTTGATAAGGCTCCACAACAGCTAAGCACACAATGAAGATCAATGTCATTGATTCAACAATAGCCCAGAGTAGTTTTTTTTTTTTAATCTGAAGTAGTAAACCAAAATAATGGAAATTCAAATCAAATAGAAGAAATAAATATAAAAGAATGATAGAGATGATAACATTTGCTATTATGAATCTAACAGAAGAACATTTTAAAGTAAGCTAAATTTGTTCATATTAAAAGATGTTTATAAGCTTGTTTCAATAAGTGTGTTAGTTATATTTTGCCAATTTACTTGCTAACTCAGAACTATGACTGAATATCATTTAATATATTGGTACCCATATTACTCAGCATTATTTTCTTTTGCACTTATGAATACCAACAAACAAGACTATACATTCACTGGCTCTGTCAAACAATTCAGCAAGATTGATGAATTTTATTTACACCAAAATAATTGAATAGAGTTTATATATATATATAATTATCTAGGACCATATCAGTAATTGCTAATGAAAAGGTTCTTAGGTCAGAGTAATTAGCAAATAGTTCTATCCTTTTGCTGGTATCATACAAAACAATGATTTTGAACTTCTTCACCAAGAGGATCATAAAGGCTTTACCTGTGTAAAGTCTGCATCTTCCTTGTGTTGCCATTCTAGCCTGTAATCTGTAATTGTAGCACCATTATTCACTGGTTTTTCCCAGTTCACTTGTATACAATGGGGAGACTTACAAGTGGCTGTTGGTAGCTTGGGTGCATCAGGTACACCTGGGCCGCTAACAACTTCCAATGATTCAGACCAGGGACCAGCCTAAAATTCAAAGAGAAAGCACCATGGTTAATTTAAAGAAAGAAAAAGAAAAGAAAAATGGGAACTTGATTTACTATTTACAAAATGATTTGGATCATTATATCAGCTTGGCTTTGTCAATTAATATGCAAAAACATTACCTGTTTTTAACAAGATCAATCAAAATTTTGACCAGATAGTTCTCATTCCACTTTCCATGCTTAGGAAGTGTTTCATGCCAATACTCATCAGTCTTATTCTCCTTATTGCTGCAAGACAGTGTAACTTTTTGGTATTGAACTCACAACTGTCAGGTATGTTTTAACTCACTAGATTATGTGCCTCTTGGACAATTTGTTGGTATAAGTTTGGAGCTTTAGACTGTACTTGGTGCATTTTCTTTCTTAATCACAGGGACCCAGATGCTATTCATCTCTGCTAGGTTTACTAGGAAGGTTACCACTGTCTAAAATATGTGCTGATTTTTTGTCATCTTGTCCTCCAATGTGTTTTTCTCTATACTGAGTTCATTTCACAGGGATTGGTGACTTCACTCCTATATAAATACATATACATACACAGAAGGTGTATCAAAAAATACTTTTAAAAACTTTGGGGGTGGGTTCTTGACACCAAAACAAAGTAAAATGTCCATATCAACATGTCCAAAAGGCCATCATTGTACCTCAACACATCAACTCATAACAAATGTTCAAAATGTCCTCTGCTTGTTTCTATACATGCATGCATCCATTGGATCATTGATTGGCAGACACTTTCAAATACTCCCACATGGTATTGAATGGTTTTGCAGGTCCCTGTGGCATGTTGATGAAGTGTCTCTGCATTATTAACGTCAGCTGCATAAACGGATTGAGGTTGGAGGAATATGCAGGCCATAGAATTGATCCTCCCCTACCTATCCATCTTTCATAGTAGATGTCACCCAAAGAATGTGACTAAGATGTGCTGGAGACCCATCATGCATGTGACCACATGCGTCTTCATATAAGCAGGGGCACATCCGCTAGCAGGTCAGGAAGTGTATTTCAAATAAAGTCCCTGTAGAGAGCTCCTGTACTGGGAGAACATATGGACCTATCAGAGAGTCACCTACAATTCCAGCCCACACATTAATTGTAAACTGATGATGGTGTCTAGCCTGTATTGTACGATGGTGATTCTGATCCACCCACAAATTTGGTTGTGTAAATTTGTTATTCCATTTATTGCAAATGTTGCCTTATCCGTAAACAAGACTGAAGAGACAAACAATAGATCAGCAGTTTGTGCAATAAACCATCAGCAAAAGTTCTCCTGTGGTGAGTAATCAGAAGGTGAATGACCCTGCACATGTTGCAAATGATATGGATACAGGAGCTGCTCTTGAAGTACCCTCAATGCAGTACTATGAGATGTATGACATTCTAGGACCACGATGTATGCCGATACCTGGTTTGTCTCTGACAGCCTGTAGAACATGTTCTTCATGGTCAGGTGTACGAGTGAATATCGGTTTTCCTCAATCCATAGTTTGTGGTGCCATGGATCCTATCATGGCAAGTCAACAATAAACAGCAGCAAAGGTTAGATGACTCAGCTTCCTCTAGTCTGGAAGTGCAATCTCATGCAGCTTTGCATCCATTACTATTCATGCAGCTCTATGCAAAAATTATATCTAGTTGTTCACAATATGAATATCATACCATTGTTAAAATGGAATACTTCTCAGTTAACTTACAACTACACATGTTAAATGTTGAAGACAGACTAGCCACAAATGTACATTAATGACAAATTTAATGCAGTCTACATGGCAACCCAGTGCCAGCTACCATAAACTTTCTTTAAACTTAAGTCAAAAATGAAGGTGTGGTGGACATACGTTTATATGGACTTTTGTTCTTGTTTTGGAAGTTTGTAAAAGTATTTTTGATACAGCCTGTATATGTGTAAATTGTCACCATTTCATATTTTTAATTTCATGCATGGTTGTTGCTTGTTTTTGATTTTGTTGACTGCAAAGTATAGTAGGGTCAATTGGGCACCATCTGTGAGAAAAAGAGCATCATGATGCAATTCACTCATTTGGAAATGGCATGCTGTACTGCTTGTCATTTGCACCAGAAGCTCCAATACAAACATTTCAGAGTGTTTGGATGTCAATCTAAGGACAGTACAGAGAATTCAGAAAGTTGGATTAATTTAATGGTGATTATGAAGGTACAGCAGCTTGGAAAACTCATTTTGAACATTCTGATAAGAAAGGAACTTGCGAATTTGTTGGTGAAGATCTCAGACTCAACATGAAGGCCTACATCAAGTGCCTTGAAGAGGTAGTGCTGTCCTGGGTCAAGAGGGTGGCTGCTGGAAGACCCTATGTCTGCCAACAGGTCTCTGCACCATGCCACAAAAGTAGGAGAACCCAGTCATGGCTGTCAGACAGTTTCTGTGACTACATCACCCCTTACATCTAGCCACCTAACTCCCCAGACTGTGACCTCCTTGATCCCAGCTGTCATCCTAAAGAAATGTGTTTCTGAGCTGGCTCCAGTTCTCTCAAACTATTGTCTCACTGTTTCCTGCTTTCCAGCTTGTTGGAAATCCTTCTCTGTAGTTTGTTTTTAAGAACACTGGAAAACTTTCTGACCTCTCTAACTATTGCTCTATTAGTCTCCTACTGTTTTTCAGCAAAGTATTTGGGGGTTTAATCAATACTGAATTGGTTAAGCATCTTACCTCTCACAAGCTTGAACTGTGGCTCTAGATATCTCATATGTTTGGCATGCTGGTCTTCTACATAAGCTCCATGGCTATGGTATTACAAGATGATTGATTTAATCTAATCATTTCTAACAAATTGTGAAATTAAGGTAATTTTGGACAGCTTGCTTACAAATCTTTTCACATGAATGTGAGTGTCCCCCAAGGAGCTATTCTGGGTCCTACGCTGTTCCTGATGTCATCAGTTCCCAAATAGGCCTTTATGCAGTAACACTACCTTTTACTAATGTCTCAATAGGAAATCTGTCAGAACTGACTAAGTTAATCTGCCTGCTGATCTTGAAAAGCACCTCCAATCAGTGGTTAACTGGAGCAAAAAATGGCTTGTAAATTTTAATGCCTCCAAAAACGAAAATGCTCTCATTTAATCATCATAGAGAAACTTTTCTGCTTGCCATCAGCATAGCTGATGCTAGATTCCTGGAGAGCAACACACTGCCCCGACTACATAAATTTAAGCATGTTACTAGATTGACATCTAGGTCCGACCCTTTTACTGTTGAAGTAGTTAAATCTAACCGCCACTTCTACTTCAACAGTTTCCTTTCTCACACTTCCTGCCTGTGAAACTCCCTTCCGCTTCCTTGCTTCTCTGATAACTACAATCTTCAAAAATTTAAATGCAACATCAATTGCCATCTTCTATCTTCTTGAATCGCGTTCATCTTTTATCCTTTCTTTAATCCCCCTTATACCCAGTCTTTTTTCTCACTTTCACTCTCTGTAACCCTCTGCGTACTAGTGACGTTCTCACCTTGCTTAGGGTGAAATGATTAAAAGAAAAAAAAAAAGATTATTATGTGGGTGGTGCAGTTGAGAAAGAGACCAACAAACATGTAACACCAAAGATGAACTGAAGGCAAGAATTATGGCAGCATTCACCATATTAATCAAAGCAACTGTCCAGAAGAATTGTAAGAGACTCTAAAGTTGTCTGTAGGCTATGTATGAAGCCAATGGTGATGTAATTGAATAAATTTACTCTTTAGTATATCAAGATAATTTTGGTAAATATATCTGGTCAAACGAAACATCAATGTTATTTTCATTTTTGTGTAATTTAGATGACAATTTATCCATTGCATCCTGTATGTATCACAAAATTAACATTTATTAATAATGACAAATTAATAATAATTATCCTTTAAGTATTGTGAATACTGAAAACAAAAGCATTGGTCACAACTAGAAAAATATTAACATTTTGTTATGAGCCTACTGTACATGAACAGGTATTTCTCTTGTCATTAATCATTGTCAAACAAGGAAAAAGTCTCTTGGGGGTTGGGAATAAAGAGAAGATGTTTGACTAATAAAAAACATGGCTAATTACATATATGTATAATTTCAAGGCACATTGACTACAATGGGATTCAAACATCATTCTTTGTGAAAATGACACCTCTATAAACAAAATAAATATTTTGGCTTTCTGTAAATGGAAGTAAAAGTAATGACCCTGAAATGGTTGATTTTGAAATGCACTTCATTCTATTTTTTTTTGTCTAAAAATATTGGAGTTACCCTAAAAAGCTGAAATTTCATGAGGAGTGACTCTACCACAATGAAATACAAATACTTTGAAGTGTTTCTATTTTATTGTAGTAGTGGTCAATTAAGAAAAAAAAAAAAAAATTTAATAAAATTATCTTCAATCTCATTTCATGTGGTTAATTCTTCTATGGACCAAAATTTAATTTCCATGCGCCACAACCTTAACAGAAACTTTCTATGCCAAACAGAATTCAAACTCTCTTCTATGAGATTTGACATCTTTTTACCAACAACAATATAATTTCCCAATGAAAACTTCATTTTCATGATATAATGTTGAGAAGGTATTTATAATAGTAACTCATCAGATACCTCAAAAGCAGAAACATAAAGCGAGATTATATCCTTTCTAGATTTTAGCATTCATACCTTTCAGAAATTATGCAATATAAAGTTGTGTTATTGAAGGAAGCATTCAAATTATTAACTAATAGTAAAGTGAAATATATAGATTAAGATTTTAACAGAAAATTGTCTCAGTTTCACTAAAGCATTTTAACTGTCTAGTAAAAGAAATTTCCCTGACAGTTGTTTATATTCTATTTTTTTTTTTTGAATTGGTATCACCTCAAGCAAGGCAGTACCAGTCACTAACAACCAAGGGGTTATAAGGTGTGGAAGAATTAAGAACAGAAACAATAGTAATGAGTAGAAAGAGAAAAGAGCAATCAAGAGGACAGCAGATAGTGACTGACATGGAATTTAAATTTTTGCACATTAAAATTATCTAAAAAGCATGGTGCCCAGAAGGGAGTTCCACAGACGAGAGGTTTGAGAAAAGAAACTGTCAGTATAGAAGTTGCAGCTCCATCTAGCTAGCTTAACTGTAAATTGATGAGATCTCACCACCAGTCTAGTATTTGTGCTAAATTCATACAGTCTAGGTAGCATAACATAGAGCTCATCTGAACAATTACCATGAAAGTATTTATAAAAAAAGGCACAGAGAGAGACAACCTTACACAGTGGTAAAGTGACTGTAGCCGAGTTGCCAAATCAGGACCAATAATATTGCTGATTCTTCTTTGGAACTTATCAAGGAGTTCCAGGTAAACAGCAGGGGTGCCTGACCATATACGGCAGCAATATTCTACACATGAGTGAACTGTAGACTTTTAGATATGCAAGATATATTCCAGAGAGAAAAATTGTCGCATCTGTCAATGTGAACCAACATTCTTAGCAGCTGACCTAGTAATGGATTCAATATAGTCTTTCCATTTCAGCTGAATGTTAAAGTGAGGAGGTGCAATGAGTGCTCTTTCCTGGAGGATAGCATCAGCCATGCTAGGAAGGTAGAGAGGGGTCTCTCAAATGATTAATGGAGAGAGTTCAATTTTGGAGGTGTTAAAATTGACAAGCTATCTTTTGCCCCAGTTAATGACAGTCTTGAGGTCATTTTGGACACCAGCTGCCATTTTGACCTTGCTGGACTGATCAGTCTTACTATTCTGGCAGGACTAAATGGTAGTGTTGTCAGTGTAGTTGTCAAGTTGAGAGCTGATGTCATCAGTCAGGTCGTTATGAAGATTAAAAACAGCATAAGACCAAGGATGGAGCCCTGGGGGACATCCACGTTAGTATGAAAGGATGTAGATGAATGGCCATTAAAGACAACTTTCGTTTCATGATTTGATAGGAATGACTAGGAGTCAAGAGTAGAGTTTGAAGAGAATTTACGGGTATAGCATTCAGCTTTATGAGCAGAGGATGATAACACCTCAAATCAATTGAAGAGGCCTTGCACTTATTTAGTACCTTATTACAGAGCCACCAGTAATCACAAGAGCTAAAATATTTAGAGGCTATGCAGTGCCTCATTCTCTCAGCAAATGGAGATTTACTGCCTTTGTGGACTTTCTTTGTCATAGGTAGTAGCAAATAGGCCTGTTATGATGAGAGCTGGTATAGCCAGAAATAGTGGTTCCTGTGTGCTATGGTGGCCAAGCATGCTGGTGTGAATCATGGAGAGGATTGCAATCTGGTATTTCCAAGAAGGGATGAAAGCATCAATACTGGCTTTGACCCAAGAGGAAACCTCAGTGGCACAATTTTCAGTTGGGAAGTTGAAGATGTCAGTCCAAGGAGTGTCACAAAGAAAATTGCAGAATGAACCCCACTCAGCATGCTGGCAACAAAAAGAGGTCTTATAAATAGGGAGGTCCTTGTTTAATGGATGCTTGGAAGGGGATATCAATAGGTACCACAGAGGGCAGTATTTTGAATCTTGGCCAGAGCAAGGAGAGGAGGTAAGAAATAGATCCAATAGAGAAGCCTGTTGCTCAGTTTGGTTAGGGAAAGGAGAAAGGAAGTCTTGAGTGAGGGATTGGGCAATGGAAAATTGTCTGTATACCAGCAACATCAGTACCTTTAGAAAGTTTCAGCCACATGTTGTGATGAGCATTAAAGTCACTGAAGACAAAGATGTTCACAGATGAATGGAGTGGAAGTGCTTTTTCTATACTGTCAACTATTGTGTCTAATATGCTACAGTCTTGGGAAGAGGGGGAGGGATAAAGGAAAAAAGTGATAGCTGAGGAATGAAAACTGACTGATTAAATTAAAACATTATTTTAACGAATTTTGAATCAAAGTTTTCAGAATTTATTCAGACTAGTTTTGCTCTTTATTAGTTTCGGATTGATAAACTTTCCAGACACATCAAGAATTGGATTTCTCATTTAATTCTTAAAAATATATTATTTTTTAAACAGTCTCATTTGTCAAATCAAGTCCAGTTGCTCTTCTTCGGCAATAAATTTTGTTAATATCTTGGTATCTTGGATTATGCACAGAATTAAGCTTACTGAATTTTTCCAGAAGACAAATTTTATATATATATATATATATATATAAAAATGATAAAGGCCAGGGTCACTGTATTTTGCAATAGACATATTTTACTTAGTTTATTTAGATTCTATACTTTTAATATCAATTTTGATCAAAGCCATTACTTCCCTTACTAAATAGCTGTTGTTTTTTATTATTCATTTGAAATATAGGGCTTTTAGGATAAACAAATCAGTTTATCCCTTCTTACATGAATGAAGTTGAGCAACCAAGCCCAGGGTTTCTTTCTGAAAGAGTCATCTTTATCAGACAGAAACACACACACTTGTTTATTTTGGTTAGGTTTAGGCAGAAGAAAGTTTATTTGGGTGTCATTTCATGTTTATCCAGTAATCCAAAATTGTTTATCTCCAATTTGGACAATATACAAGATATTTAAGTATATTACCAACCTTCAACTTGGCAGGATTTCTTATAGAATAAACAAACTTTATATATATAAAAATCCCATAAAAGCTGTTTTAGATTATTCAAAAGAAATTGTAATATTCAATTTGAAAGAAAATAGTGAGTTGTAAAAAAAATTAAAAATGAATTATGAATAATCAAAAGAATCGTATTGCTACTTGTATTTAATGGGAATTTTTAAATGATGACTTTATTATCAAAGACAAAGTATTCAATCCCAAAAGGCTGTCATTTCTGAGGTCTGATGCTGCCAAGATGAGAGAGAGATTAATAGAAAGAGATAGACAGAGAGCAAACTTTCTGAAAGTTAATATAACCAAGGTCCTGTTTAGTCTATATATCTTCCTACCCAACATTTTCTGACTGTTGTTATAATGTTGTCATATTTTTGTCCTGGATGTTTTGCATCGTGAAACAAATTTCCTCCTGTATCAGATAATTTTGAGATGGCTGGGAAATTAGTGGCTAAGTGTTGGAATTATCAAAGAAATGAGTCATATGGATAATATAAACATAACATGCAATATATTTGTAGTGGAAACAGTTTAGTCAACTTGGATTTTTTGCTATTCCAGGCAGCAAAAGTTGGTCCAAGGACATTTTGTAATTTCAAGAAATTAATAGGAAATCAATTTTATTGAGGCAGATTTGATAATTTGGTTCCATTAAAATAAGTTGCTGGAAATTGTACCATCAAATTTAGAAAACAAAAAGCAATAAACTTACCCCAATTTTATTAGCACATCTAACTTGAAAAAGATATGGTCTCCCAGGTAAAAGTCCTGCTACTACGCATTCTGTATCTCTACCTTTGTACACTTCTCTTGTTGTATTGTCTGGGGACACCATTTGGACAATATAATCTGTTACAGCAGAGCCACCATCATTTGCTGGAGTACCTGAAAATACCAACAGCAGCACGAATTCATGACACTGACCAATACATTTTAGTATATGTTTCAATGACAAAATTTGACAAGCAAAACCTCTAAAATAATAAATGGATTAGTAAAGATAAAAAATTTTAATCAATTGATAAAGAGTTTGTTTAGTGGCATATCAACTCCTTATGGGTCATTTAATGCTGAAATTTAATTTTCTTGGGAGCATTAGTAATTTCATTTACAAAAATTACTGGTAATTTTATTAGGAAAATTTATTTTTATACTTTCATAATGTTTTGACCCCAGTTTGGGAGTTAACTATTTGCCAATAGTTGGGACCATAACAGTTGCTACCACCCTGGGTTAGGGTGAACCTAGGAAGAGCAGCAATTACGAGACTGATAAAGAGAAATACTTGAAAGACTATCATTTTTAAAGAAAAGATAAGTTGCTTTGTTAAGACATAAGATAATGTAACTTAGTTAATATTTCAAATTTATTTGTCAACATTGATTAATATTCAGTTGAAAATCTTTAAGCTGGTGTCTGTAATTTCAGTTATAATGAATATGTGCAAATAGCCTAATTTTAATTGATTTGTAACTGAATTTAATTTCTAATGTTAATTATTTCTTGGCATTTGTTTCCATACACAAGCTTTCCAAATTATTTCAATCAAAATAGAACAAATATATTGTATTTAAGCAAAATATATACTTTCTATATGTCTATTATAAATAGAAGAAGATGTAAAGACATTATTGAAACATATGGTACATACCCCATCGTAAATTTAAGGACTTAGCCTTTGGTTTACCCTGAAGTTTTGGTGCTTGGCAATGGCCAGGAACAACAGGGGTTGTAGTAACAATACAAATTTCAGAAAACTAGAAAAACAATAAGGAAAGGAGTCATTGAAACTGAAAATAATTTAAAATAGGAAATATTTGCAAATAATTTTCAGTGTAAAAATATTTGGAAAAACTATTATAAAGTCTGAAAAGAATTAGCAAAACATTAAGTTTGGTGCAAAGTCATACAAATTACATTAATTGTTAATAAAAGTGATAACAATACTAGTGGCCTAAAAAGTTTAAGTAAAAATAAAAGAATGTTTAAAATTTTTATTTTTGGCATTAACTTTACCATTTTGTTGGATTATCTTTTGCCATCTTTCAGGCAACTTCATGAGTTCATTCTTCCAGAAGTTATTTTTCTCAGCATAAAAACTATTGGTCCTTTTTGCAAATTTCAAAGGAACTGAAATTTTTTTCATTAAAATATATACATTTTTTTCTTTGAATGAAGACCAGCATTTGGTACAATTAGCATTGATTCATTTACTGCATGATCTGTTTCATATTTCTAATGAAATTATCCACTTTTCATTGCCCATCATAATTTATTTGAAAATAGAACCTTGAGATATTTAAGTAGTGAGTCATGAATGGAAATATAGCTCGGTAATTTTTTTTTTTTGCTTAAAATAAATTGAAGGTACACATCAAAGTGATTAACATAACTGGTGTAAATGATTTTCACTGCTTGATTTGGCTATTTTATGCATGTTATCTGATTCTAATGTCTTATAATGTTGATTATCCTCAAGTAATATCTTGATTTGATTACTTTTAACCTCAACTGGACAACATGACTGAGCCACAACCAATAAGCATTAAATAAACCACCATTATTACTAAACATCAGGGGGAAGCATGACAGCAATTTAATAGGATTTGGCAAGGAAAACATTTCTCATGCCAAAATAAAAAATAAAAAAACAAAAGTATGCACCAAGCCTTGACAGACTTCCAATTTTAAAATATTTCAGGTGTCACTTAGTACCACATTCTTTGCAAGATTTCTTCTACAATCAATCATACCATAACACTTAGCTCTTTAGAAACTGTGCTTTTCTTGGAAGTCAAATAAACAACTAATAACAAAAGTTTCTGTTGGAAGAGAGATGGTTCAAGTGGGGAAAATATGTTTACTGAATGTAATAATGTCAATGTGCAAAGACTATGTTTATTATTGGTTCCAAAAGTTTTGTTGCGCTCTTTGTTGATTTTGTGTTTTTGCCACAATGAAACACAGTTCTGAGAGGAATGTCTATTCAGACTTGCACACAACAACAAAAGCAACAGAAGGCATTCAAGTAAAGGGCGAATGTGTAACCACACTGTCAACAAATTGTCTGCTCTTATAACAACAACTTTAACAAGTGCAATAAAAGTAAAAATGAAAATAAAACCAAAATCATTATATTGAAAATAATAGGAATGATAGTAATATTTTAAGAGCAGTTGCTAAAAAAGATAAAAATGAAAATTTAATAAAGGTAATGAAGTCAGTCAGCATGATATCTGATTGGATAAAAAGAAAGAGTGATTGAAAGATAATATTTCGTCATGTTCATTTATCTCATCCATATATAACTGAAAGTTTTATGTTAATTTCCTTCAATAATTATATCTACTATTTATCTTGTTTTTTTTTTTAACTAAGATTAAATAAAATAATGGCCTTGGAAAATAGTTGTTACCTATGAAAAATCAAGAATAAGAAAGAAGAAAAGCTGGAATAAGTTTTCAACATCTACAAGAGTGGCAAAGAGTTCTCACTTTTATTAAGCTAGGTCTCACATGCCATTGCTTGTGAGATTGGTTCCTTGTGCAAGACTTCAGTCTAAGCAAACTGAATATAATCATAACAGTAGCAACTTGGATGACCACCAGCAACAACAACAATAATGACATGTGAAAATAATAGCAATAATAATTTCTTATGGTGACAAAGAAACAATTTCAATGTGGTAACAATAATGATTATTTTCATCAACACCCTGCCTTGCTGAAAAAGTAGAGATAATACTTTTTTTTATTAGTGAAACACACAATTAATTTAAGAATATAAACAATAGTCTTTCTTTCCTCTCTTTCACAAATCCCAATACAGAAAAAGATTCAGTAAAAAAGAAAATAAATTCTCATATTACTCATTCATCACAGTAAAGAAGGTTCTTTGAAGAGAAAGGAAAAGCCAAAGAAAAAAGTGTTATTGCAAGAAAATAAAAAAAATAACTGTAATTGTTAGACTAAAGCAAACACAGACTGTGTATAGAAGCAATTGTAAATATTAAATAAACAGTTAATCATTTAAAACTATTCTAAGTTGTATGACTATAAAAAGTCAAGTAGTGACTTCACAAAATAAACATTAACAAATACTTGATTGAATTAAGGAAATAGAAACTAAAATCTTAGTCCCTAGTCTTGTGTGTGTGTGTGTGTGTGTGTGTGTGTGTGTGTATTCACCTTTGAATAATGCCTAAATTCACTGGAAAAACAGAACCACATAATTCTGATGTAGGGTGCTTGCTAACATCCAATTGTTTTCAAGAGACAATTTACCATAAAAAAGGCCTTGTTAAAATGGAAAAGACATGGTAGAATAATTCCAACGTAATACTGAAGAAATTAGAAAAATATTCAGCTTTTACAAAATTTTTAAAAAGAATAGTTTTGAGTTGACCCAATTGACTGCATAATAATAATAAAAAAAAGAAACATTTTATGATAAAATTTATTGCATATTTGGTTATTCGAAAATTATTTTCAAATGAACTTTTGTTGGTAAGATTCACATACATTACATAAAAATGACGATACATATATAATCACATCACTTAACACAGGATAAAATAATTTTTTGTATTCATATATTTGGAAAAAAAGAAGAAAAAAAAAGCACAAATAACCAAACTTGACTTTTTCAAAAAAAACATTATATTAAAATAAGAGAGTAAGTAAGGAAACTTGATATGTAAGAAGCTAGAATTCTATTTTCAATGCAAAAGTTCTAAATTCAGCAGACTGTAAATATACAGATAAAAAAAAAAAAAAATCATAAAATAAGACCAAAAGAAAAGAAAATCCATGCACATAATTCATGTTACTCAAGCCAACTATTGTTAGAACACACATGGAAATCATTGTATTGTTCCCAGATGTGTATTTTAAAAAAAAAAAAAAAAAAGGAAAAGAAAAAGTAACCTAAAACTCACAGTATGTAATTACATATTACAAATCTCGGTCAATTTGACAGAAATGAGTGGGTGGGCAAAGTCCTGACTAGCTCAAAATTATTAAATGAGAAAGAACATGTTCACATTATGGATAACACAAAGAAATATTAAATGTTAGGAACTGGAACAACACAACTACAATCCTCTCCTTTATCACCCCTTCTGCTACAACAACATTCATACAAATTCCAAAAGTAGTTGTTAAGGAAAAAACAGAACCTGTCTGGATTGTTTGACAATTCTGTCGTCATCATATGAGACAAGGTCAATGGGATACCTCTAATGACTTACTGGATGCTTATCATGTGAGATATGCTCAAGGCAAATTCCATTTCCCTAAACAAAGTAACAAACAATAATAAATAATAGATGAAAGCAAATGTTTCCAAAGAATTAAAATAACCCAATCTTATATTTAACCCAATAACTGCAAGAAATTTTGGTTTTATTCAGTTGTTCTATATGCAGAGTCCCTTCAGGATGTTGGCAATAATGGCTCTTCATAATTTCCTGTCCTTTGTAGGTCTTAATAAATTTTGTTGTGCGTTGTCTCTCTTAAACCTTGTTGAGCCAGCCATTTACTATTCTAGTTTTACAGTTGAAATTGTTAGAAATAATTGCAAGTTCTATGCTAAGTTTTTTTTTTTCTTGTACTTCACTTGTGGAACTCTTAAAGCTTCTTGCTTCCCAGTCAACTTTGATCTCCAAAAATTTAAATGTAATGTCAATCTTTATCTTGTCTTCTTAATTCCTGTTCTTTTATTGTTCTCCCCCCTTAAGAGGGCTTTGTTTTTGTCTTTCACACTCAGTAACCCCTTGCATCTTAATAGCAACATTGCCTTGCATGGGGTTAAATTAATAAGGAAAGAAGAGGAAACAGAAAGAAGAGGAAGGAAAGAAAATGGAAAGAAATACAGAAAAAGGAAAGAAAGAAGCTTGCTAGTTATGTTATGCATTGTTTTTCTGTCATGCCCTCAATCTGTCCTGTGAGTAACAAATTTTTCCAAACACTCTTTCCTCATTATATGCCCCAGAAATTTCAACTATCTCTTCCTGATGTTAAGTATAGCAGTCCTTTTTGTTTCAATTTTCTCTAAAACTTTGTCATTGATCACATGCTTGGTCCATGGTATCCTTAGCATAATGATTTAAAAACTCAAGGAGATTTTCCTAAAGAGGTGGACATATAACTAAGCTTATTCTTGATAGTATTTTATAATGATAGTTTGCTATTAACATGTGAAGCTTATCTCACAAAACAAGTGAAAATTAAGGACAAAATATTCTTGGAAACTCATAAAGCTTTAAAACATTTTCATGAAATCAACTGTCTGTCTTGTGTGTGTGTGTGTGTGTGTGTGTGTGTGTGTATATACACACACACACATACTGGGTGCAATGGATAAATTCTCGTCCAAATTATGCAAAAATGAAAATAATACTGATATCTCATTTTAACAGATATATTTACTAAAATTACAGAAAAATATCTTGAAATACTATTCAATAAAACTGCCACTGGCTTCAACCATGGCTTCTATACAACTTAGGAATTTCCTGTAAATGTACACTTAAGATCAGAAGAAAATAACATTGGAGAGATTCAAGAAAATTAAAAAATTCTATGGTCATGTCATACAATTTAGAGAACATAATTTTTTTTTTTTCCTTACCTCACTTTTACCTCCTGGCCCAGAACAACCAACTTGCACCTTGTATGTATTTCCTGGAGTAAGTCCATCACATGTACATTCAGTGTCTAATCCTTTATAAATATTATGAAAACCTAAAACATAAAGAGAAAGAAATACCAAAAATAAAATCAGTTTTAAAGTGATTCAGCTTGAAGTCTTGATAAGCATTAAGAATAAGAGTTAAATGGATAATGAATGTTTGCATTGTTAAGACCAAGAAGAAAAATGTGTGTGTGTGTGTGTGAAGGTGGTTCCAATATCCATCCATGGATATTCTCTTCAGATTAGATGGCATGGAATATTCAATGGTATCAATCAATTTGTAGTCAGGTTAATTTTGTTAGGTTAGTATGTTTGAAAAAATAGTTCTAGAAAACACCAAGTGCAGCTATGCGTGAGCAGTCCAGACCAAGTTTGAAAAGAAACAAATTGAATCCTGTGATTTCTGGAAGATCACCAAACAAATTATGAACAGAGATAAAGCGGCTGTGCCCATAATTATAAATATCCTGAGATCATATCTTCCTTGGTAGATAAGGTGAACCTCTTCACCTCCATCTTGGCCCAATCCACTGCTGATGTCCTAACTACCAACACTCACAGAATCATTAATGCTTTTGATGACAAACATACTTCGAGGACCAGAGCACTAGATATCTCAAAGGCCTTCGACAAAGTGTGACACAAAGGCTTACTACACAAGCTCTCTAGTTATAAAATCACTGGAAGGGTCTTTTTGATCATAAAATCTTTCCTAACAGGTAGGTCCCTGAAGGTAGTTATCAATAGCCAGTTCTCTGATGCCACTGAGGTCAATGCAGGCATCCATCAGGGGTCACACCTCGAACCAACCCTCTTTGATCTACATCAATGATCTGCCTAAGAATATACTCATAATTTGTAAACATCTATGCTGATGATAAAACTGTATACAGGCGTACCTCTAAAACTTTTGATAGTCAGAGATTGACGACTGATCTCTCTTTCAATCTTGTACAAACTAGCCAATGGGGTAATAACTAGCTAGTTACATTCAATGCCTCGAAGACCAAGCTAGTTACATTTCATCATCACTGATCTGACCCCGAACTACTACCAATCAGGATGAATGGAGGCCCTCTTGGGTAAGCACTGTGACTTGAAATACTGTTGGGTCTCAAACTCATACCTGACCTCAAGTGGAACGTGTACATATGATCCATTGTTAAGGATGCAGGTAAAATGGTCAGCTCTTTGTACCTCTCCAGTAAGTGCCCAACTCCTGTTATCATCTAACTTTACAAGAGCCAAATCAGGCCAAAAATGGAGTAGTGTTATATTTGGGCAATACCTGCCCAAACCTCTCTAGCCTTGATAGAGTTCAAAAGCATCTCTGAGCCCTTGTGGGTGACAAATTATTCTCTACCCTTCAACCTCTCTCCTACAGGTGGGATGTGGCAAGTCTCTTGCTTCCACGAAAAGTGCTTGGACGAACTACATTCCCTGGTCCCACAAAGACAAACCTTCTCAGCAAGAACACACCATGCCACTTACATAGTAGCAAGCCACCCACATTCCCTCTGTATTGCATTAGTGAGAAGTTCTACTTGAGAATCTTCCTGTGAACCACTGCTCTGTTGAACTGACTCCCAACAACAGGTTTCCCCAATCACTACAATCTTAAAAAATGCTATTGTAATTGTTATCTTCCACTCCTAATGCACAAATGGCCTTCAAACATAACCCTTTACATCAAGTGGCCCCCAGGCATTGTAAGAGTAAACCTTGCAGTAAAAAAAAAAAAAAAGGTAGGGAAAGAGAAGAGAGTTTGACTATGATGGCTAGTATATAGCACAAAGTATAACAATTCCCAGAATGGTCACTGCTGACACCTTTAACTTACTCCTCTCGTGAAGCTATGCCCTTTATGAGACAATAGTGTGATGATGGAAACATTCTTCAAACTTATTTTCTAGAATATCTTTCAATAATGTAGTCAGGTTTTGCTGCCTGTCAGATGTCAGCAAATCTGTTTAGGTATGTTTGTTTTAATTTTGGAAATAAGCCATCTACCTTATCCACCTATTTTAACACCCTGTGATTGTTCACAGGGTGTTAAAATAGGTGGATAAGGTAGATGGCTGATTTTTGTAATGGAAGTCTTTAGTTAAGAACTTGCAAATTCCAAATAGATCATTTTTCTCATTCCCAATCCTGTTAGAATCTGCCATACTGTTTCTTTATTCATACTCAGTTTTCCAGGGTTCCATTTTTCAATTAATCTTCAATCTAAGCTCAAGGTACACACAGAGTCCACATTTGGACATGTTCTTTGTTTTTGGCTGCCCATTTCTTGTGTCGTTGTGCACATTTTCTTGTCCTGTCTTGAACCACCTGTGCTACAGAAAAACACTCAATTTCTTCATAGCATGTTCACCATTAGCTACTCTTAATAGGGCTAACATTTCACAAGCAGTTTTACCAAACTTCTAATAAAACTAGATATTAATCCACTGCTCCAGATTCCCTTTCATTCATTTTCTACCAACAGTATAACATGAATGCAGACAACTTCATATACTGCTCAGTATTGAACGTGTCTCAAAAAAGTGAAAGTTAGAAAATGTTTGAGTACAAATAAGCACATGTTTCATTATTGCAGTGACATGTTGCAGACATTCCAGGAATTAAATTGTCCCACTTTTGTGTATGTGTTGTTTCAAACAGTACTACAGATCTACTGAGGCTATCTAAAATATTTCTCAGCTGAGAAATTGTTCCAGTGGTTAAGAGACCCTTTCAAGTGCACTGGCATATTGCTAATAGAAAATATTTATGAAATTTAACTGTGCATATATTTTATTCCCATTCTCATCATAAAATTATGCTATAGTCTTTTTTTTTTTTTATAGTCAAACCCTTTCATCTTATTTCTCCATTATAAAAAAAAGTAAAAAAAAAAAGAAGTACCTGTATGCTGGAAACCTTTCAAATTCATAAACTTGTCAAACAAATATTTCTATTGATAGCATTTAAAATTGAAGACTATTAAAATGAGTTGTTGCCTTTTGCTATGCATAAGGTCCCACAGAAATGTAGAGGAAGAGGTGAGGAGAAACTATTAAAAAGAAAATGTTGCAAATTTACAGGAAGTGGGTAGATGAGGAAAGAACTAAAGAAAAATGCAGGCAAAAAAAAGAAAAAGATAGAATTCTTTAGTTTCAGTTAAATGATAATCATTTTGCACCTGTGGAATTTTCTCATTCTGCTAATAAACTCGGCATGATCTTCAAAGAGCTATTCTTTCAGAATTTTTTTGAAAGAAAGAAAAAGATATTTCTACTAAAAGAATAAGAAAATGTATATGTAAGACTTCCCACCCATCCCCAGAATATGAACAGATTTTGGTGCTGTTCCTCTTTGTTGGTGATATGCCATTATAGAGAGACAAGAAATACAGAACAATATGAAAAGTCAAGTACTTTTAACAAGGCTCAGTACATTTTCTATCAATACAGAATATAATTAACCTTGTCTAGGTTCCAAACCCACCAGTTCATTTTAGAATGGTACAAGTTTGAATAGGGTTGCTAATGGGCCAAATGATTAGTCACATGCCAAGTGTTGCCCCACTAAGGCAACTTACAAGTGGAGTGGAGGCCTTTCACTTTTTATGACCATACTGATCTCGAATGAACTATTCAACACATTAATGATTTCAGAGTCTTTAAGTATTTCATCAAAGCTACTCATTTTCAGAAAAAAAAAAAATGAATCTTGTACAAAAATAACAACACAAAGAAAAGTAGGAAAAAGAGAGTTGGTAATTATATTAAGTAGAAATCTTTTAAAGTTTTTAACACAAGTAAAATTGTAACCATTAATGCTTGAATGTATTATTTACATGCAATTATTACACTAGATATTTTATATATGAGAAATATAACATTTCCTTTTGGGAATTTAAAAACAATTCTAAACAAATTGGGTGGAGTGTGGAGCTTTGGTTGGATTTTCATGAACAAATATATTTTATACATCAGGAAAAATTGGTTTTAAATTGTTAAATAAACCTATATTTGAAGATATCAACCATTATGCATATGGATGAAGGTTTTTCTTAAATTATTTTATGACAACTGTGATTATGCACTAGTCCTTTTTTTTTTTTTTTTTTTTTTTACTAGCAAACCCTTTTATCTCATTTCTCTATATTTTCTTTACTCTTTCCCTACTGCATCTTCTATCAATTGGGCACCAATTAAGCAATCTTTTGCTCTATCATGTGTATAACCTTCCTTTTTCTATGTGTCCCATCACCATTTTTGTTGTTTTAGCACTTCTATAATATCTTTTAACTTGGTCTGTTCTCAGATCCATGTTGATCTCATTTCTATCTCAGAGTGATCCCAAATATTCACCTTTCTAGTAAACTTTGTTCATCTCAGAGATTTTCTTCAAGTGATTTTGTTAGATTATTATTGTATACGATTTTCCTTTGGTAAGTATATTTTGCACTTTAATCATGAGCACTTTCTAGGTGACTATTTTTGTCAAGCAAAAGGTTAGTGCTGCCAATCAAAGTTGAATTTGAATTTCTTGGTTGTGTAGTCATATCCTTCCATAGCAACACTTAAAACAATCTTGAGTGAAATTGAGAGCCAGGCTGCTGCAATTTCAGATATATAAAACACTATATACAGTAAAAGGAGAAATAATATTTATAAATGATGCAAAATGCTAAAATATTCCTATTTTGCTAACTTGTGAGTTGAAGGGATTACGGATTAAAATAGATATTTGAAATGACTACTTGATGTAGTTAGGTCAGAAAGCTTTGACAAAATTAAATGAATCCCACAATGAAATGAGAATGCTAATTTGAAGCTATAATTAATTGCAAACGTCATCAATATAAAGAATTTCAATTTTGGTGAAAGACTACAAGATTTCAGAAGTGGCCAAGCCGTGCATGTGTATTTAGCAAAGGTCTTAGTTTTTCTTATGACCATCAAACTTAAAGTCATAAAAAAATGACAAAGACAACTAATCTATTGTTGACAGCTCAGAGGATGTAAATTAACATAAAAATAAAAAATAGATAAACTTAGAA